GGAGGCGGCCGCCGTGATCCCCGGGACCCCGAGCCCAGGAGCCCGGTGGGCCGTGGTGCGCCCCAGGCCGAGGCCCCGGCGACCGCAGCCCTCCCCGCAGGAAACCCCTGTGGCCCCGCGGGCCCTGCCTCTTCAGCCCAGCAGGCACTGAAGACGCGGAGAAGAAACTTCTCGCCACCAAAATCCTTGGCATGGTCAAGTGGTTCAACATCAGAAATGGGTATGGATTTATCCATCGACACGATACCAAAGAGGATGTATTTGTACATCGCACGGCCATCCAGCGGGATAAGCCCCGGGGAGGGGCGCGCAGCGTGGGATGCGGACACGCGGGGCTCGAGGCGGTGGAGGGAGGGGAGGTGCAGAAGCGCCCGCGTGGCCGGCGCAGGCGGGTATGGGCGCGGGGGCACGGCCACGCCGCAGCCCGGCGCCAGCCCTGGTGTGGCTACTACGGCAGACGCCCGGCCCTTCCCCAGGGCTGCCCACGCTGCAACGATGAAGAAGGGAGTCCCAGAGGGCGCACAGCCTCAGGGGCCGGCCCATCCAAATCCAGCTTGTCCGACGCGGTCCCGTCGGGACCTTCCCGCCCACGACCGGCCCAGCTGCGGGGCAGGCTTTAGAGAACCCACAAGCGGCCTGTGGTCCAAACCGGCCATCCGTCCGCTGTGGACACCAGCGCCCCCACAGTACTGGCAACAGAGTGCGAGACGAATAACCAAGAGGCAGACACTGGGATGTTTACGATGATTCTTTATAAAACAAATTAACGTAAAAAGAGAATGTCAGCCAGTCTTTCCAGCAATTTTCCCAGGAATGCCTGCATAGAAGAGAGCAACGTGCCCAGTTTCAGCAACCACTGTGTGTGTGTGTGTGGGTGTGTATAATTTTTTTTTCTGGTTTTTACTGTTTTGGTAATATGAATTGAATGAAGAAATATTAATACCACATGGGGAGAACCCCAACCAAAGAAATCTGAAATACATAGTAAATGTCGTATCCTCCCCTCTTTTCTGTTCATTTTGGATGCTGGCGCTAAACTTCCAAGTGTTGTGATTTAAGTAGAAATTGTATGCCCTTCTCATTTATTTCTAGGATGAGGAGAGGGTAACATTTTTGCTTTCTTATGTGGCTCTCTCTTTGAAAGCGTGCAGCATGAAGTTCCGCAAAAATAAGTTTTTTGCCCTTGAAAGAAACAAAAGAAAATAAAACCACACTATCATCTTATTCCATTGCCTTCCCTGCCCAGGTGGTTGTGTGAAATTCCCTTATTTATGTACCTGCTACTGGATAATCTACCGAAAGGTCAGAAGAAAACACTCTCCCTAAGAAATGACCTTGTTCGACTTTCTGTTGTAGCCCCAGGAGGCCGAACGGGGTCTGGCCCAGTAAGCGTGGGATAAATAAACGTCGAATGACTGAAAACCATGCCGCTTCTCAGGCAGCTCTGGCCATTAGAAAGCCTAACATTTACTAACTTTCACTACGCCTTTAGCGGGCACTGCGAAAACCACTTCACGGGCATCATCTCATTACTACGATTCCCATTTGACAAAGGAGGCCGCGGGAGTCTTAGGGCCAACACCTGGCCGACGGACACAAGGCCACAGTGAAGAGCCGAGTGCGAATCCAGCCCTGACCTGAGTCTGAGCTCTTACCCGCTGCGTTGCAGTTCCTAGAAAGCCGCCTCCTTCCCTTTCGGTGACATGGGCTACGCCGCCTGTCCCCCCCAGATCCTAGTCCGCCCTGTGGCGTGAGGGAAGGAAGCTCCGACATCCCCGACCCGTCTCCCAGCTCAGAGCAACATCCCCGGGTCCTCCGGCCCTCCCTTAACCGATCCCGGTCACTCTCCTCTACACAGACTTCAGCCGGGCGGCGCCTGTCCCGCTCCACAAGTGGTGACTTCACGGGGCCGGTCGTCACGGGCCACCCGGGCAGTGGGCCGAGAAAACGCGCGCGAGTGTTCGAGGGCGCTGGGCTTCGTGGTCACGGGAAGGCTTCCTAGGACGCGGGATTCGTGAGCCCAGGTGCGGGGAGGCGAGCACAGGCTGGAGGCCCGCAGTCCTCCGGGCAGAAGGACCGCGCGGGACAGCGGGCGCGGAGGGCCGCTCGGCCGAGACAAAGGCTGATGGAGTTTAGGACCCTCAGGGACACAACCCCGAGGGCTGACGGGGCGCACGCGGAGAGGAATGGAGGCGCTTTCCTCAAAGTTAGGCAGGTAGGTGCGGGAGGAAAGCAACGTGGGAGGCGAGAGAAATAAAACAAAACGCGAACTTACCCGTAACCTGGCAACCCGGCCGCCGTAGCTCGACTACAGGCCGAGAATCCTGAAGAGCCCGGTGGCCAGGGCGGCGACGGGCTCACCTCGGCTATCGCGAGACCGAGCAAGCCTCGCGAGTTCTCATCTCGTGCGTGACAGGCGTGCGTGCTTTCGGGGCGCTATGGGAGGGCTCTGGCGTCCGGGATGGAGGTGCGCCGCTTTTTGTGGCTGGCGCTGGAGTCCCCTTGCGCCGCCGACCAGCGTTGCGCAGAGAGTCGGGCTGTGTCTCGGGCCAGGGAGGAGCGGGACTGGAGGTGCTGAGAAGGGGCTGAGGCGGCTCGGAACATGGAGGCGCCCGAGCCTGGCCCGAGACCTCGCGTTGCAGCCGCCGCGGCGGCGGAAGAGCACGAATCCTTACGTGCGCGCGCAGCAGGAGGAATGGCGGCGGCGGAACAAGACGGTCCTCACGTACGTGGCCGCGGCCGCCGTGGGCATGCTGGGGGCGTCCTACGCCGCCGTGCCTCTGTATCGGCTCTACTGCCAGGTAGGGGCCGGCGCTGCCCCGGGAAGGGTCTTCCGAGATTCTTGTCCAGAGAGGAAACGGGCTCGGAAAGGTGACTCGTCCAGGGTCACCGGGGAACCTAGCGGCAAAGCTGCAAGCAGAACCCAGCCCGCTCTGGAGACCGTGCTCGTGCCAGCCACACTGCAGAGTGAAATTCCTTGATCGCTCAGCTCACCCGAAAGGTCCGCAGCCTACACTCCGGAACCGGCAATCTGCCTTACCCTCCAGCGGCTCACACATGTGCCCGCTTTTAAAATGTAGTTTATATATTAATACATTAGTTCTGTGAGCTACATGGTTTATGTGCGAACGTTAACCCTGGAAATGGGAGTATGCGTGTAATTGGTGCTTACGCTGGGAGTAGCTTTTTATCCATAAAAAGAGGCAAGAATTATGCCTTTGAGGACCCCCCAGCCCCCATTAGTATCTAACTGTAATGTGCTTGCCCTGGGCTCCCTTTTAGGTCAGACACTAGGTCGTTCTCAAAAGCGCGGTCCTGGGGACCAGCAGCATCCACAGCACCTGGGAACTTGAGTGCAAATTCTTAAAGCTCTTGGAACGACTGAATCAGGAACTCCAGGGGCAGGGCACCACAATCTGTGTTTTTAATAAACCCAGTGGCTGATTTTGATGCAAACTAATGTTTTGAGAACCACTGGCAAAGGCAGACTTCACCTATTTCATATGTATTCTCCTTAGTTCTTAAGTAGTAATTTGCTGCTTTGGCTGGGCATTAGGATGACCACTGGAGCTTCTTGAGTAAACATGCCAGGGCTCTCCTATCCCCAGGGATTCTGATTAGGAGGTCTGGGAAGGGGCCAGGGGTTTGTTTTAAAAACATGCCACCAGTGAGAGCTATATATTGTGTTCATCAGTATGTATTTGAGAGTGGTTCCCAAACTTCTTTGTACGGGGATTCACCTGGTGAGTTTTTTTAAAATCCTGACATCCAGGTCACATCCCCAAACAGTTAAATCGGAATGTCTTGGAGTGGGAGGCAGGCATTAGTAATATTTTAAGGATTCCACTGTTAATGCCTGGCTTACCTCCCCAGAGTGTACAGAGATTACCTTGCCTTTAATTTTTATAATGACTGAAGCAGAAGTCAGAAGGACTTTTCAGTCTCCTAATACCAGCATTTATGTGGGAAAGTGCATTTGCTTGATTTGTGGAGGATGAGTGTAGAATGTGAGTTCTCATCAGAGGCCAGCCTGGAGGAAGCGTGAATCCCAACACTATGAGTTGGTGAAATCAGTGGAACTGAATCCAAAACAGCACGTATGAGTCTCAAACCATATGGGGAGGGCAGAGTTTGATCGTATTCCTCAGGGAATATTAGCAATGTCCAAAGACAGTTCTGGTTGTCACAACCTGGCAAGAGGGTGCTACAGGTATCTGGTGGGTAGAGGTTAGGGATGCTGTTAAATATCTAACAACGAACAGGACAGATACACCTCACCATCACTACCACCACCACCAAAACAAAAAATTATCCAATCCAAAAAGTCATTCATCCCAAGGTTGAGAAATCCTGCCCCAAACTGAAGTGAATGACAATATTTTATGCATGTGTGTGCAAGCACAGGTCAGAAAAGTAAAGAAGTAATTTGTGATCCTAAATTTAAATCACAGTTGAATGTTAAATGACATTTCCAAAAGAGTCTCACTTTTGGAATCAAAACTTTAGAGGCAAAAATAAGGGATTATGTAAACCACTTAATACGGTGACCTCATTTTGAGTCTGCAAAGTATGCCCAAAGAAAGTAAGATTTAGTTAGTTCTTGGAGCCAGTTAGTTGCAGAACTAGACTAGATACCAGGACAGTTTCTTTTCAGTGCCCTTTTTAATTTCTCTAATCATCAAGCTTACAGATTTAAAGAATCTGTATTCAACGACTGCTTGTCAGAAAGAGTTCATTAAGGAATCTATATTCAAGTGACTCAGATTCTTCAGGAAAGGGAGTTATAGCTTAAAACTTAAGTATTATAGCCTTCTTGGGTAGAAGAATATACTTATCTATTACACAAGGATAAGGGCTTGCCTTCTGATGCATCTTTTAGGGTTATAGTGTAATTGAAGGATGTCTCATGGCGATGAAGTGAAGCTGGCTGACCTGTGTAAAAAGTGGAAGCTAGTAATACTACATTTTGCTGGGAGTCTTCCCCTAACCTCAGATTTGCTATTTTTTCCTAGTGTAGCAACAGATTAATTACCCAGATGCCAGAATTCTGGCAACCTCAAGTATCAGAAGGATGACGACCCCGGAAAAAAGAATATTGTTTTAAGCATCTCTGATGATAAAGGAAATAATGGCGATGAAGATAGGGAAGAAGTATCATACACAGATTATTCCGATGCTTTATGATTAGTTGATTCAGTAGCCGAAGGGGTCAAGTTCTCTGATGGATATCTGTAAAAGCTGTACTGTACCAAAGTTATAGGAAATTACAAAAACACTTACCAATGTGGAAAAATACTTAAGATGCTTGAGAAAAGCAGACTACAGAAGAGAAGCTAAAATTAATCTGTGCTATAAAAGTTATAATATGAAAAAGGACCAGACAGAAATGTGGAAAATGGATTTAAGTAGTTTTACTAAAATGACAGGATTGTGTGTAAATTTTATTTCTATTAATAATAGTTGATAGGGAATACTACCAATAAAGGAAAGTATGTTTAATGCAAAGCTATTCTGAGCTGTATTATCAGTGGAGAGTCTGCTCTCATCCAAATGACATAACTAAGTGATTGCTGAAAAAATATGACTTTAACCTTGAAACACCCAAAGTGGTTAAACCATTGACACATTCATAAGAAACAGTGAGTATAGACTTGGTTCCTATTGAATTATTAATTTTTTTAAAACTATGATTTTATCCAATGAATAGGTCATCCAGCATCTAAAAGTAATATGTAACATTGTGCTTTATTTTTCTAGACTACTGGACTTGGAGGATCAGTAGCAGCAGGTCATGGATCAGACCAGGTTGAAAACATGGTGCCCGTGAAGGACCGCATCATTAAAGTCACCTTCAATGCAGATGTGCATGCAAGTCTCCAGTGGAACTTCAGACCTCAGCAAACAGAAATATATGTAAGTGATTAAAGCGCTTATTAAAAGATTGCTTTTTTTTCAGTGTAAAAATTCCTTTTTTCACTTAAAATTGTTTCACAACCTAGGAAATACTCATTTAAATTTAATTTCAAAATGTTGACCGATTCCATTACTGTAATTCTTTCATTTCCACAAATTACGTTTTGACAATGCTCTATAGAATATACTTTAACTTTTAAGTTACATGGTACTACAGTAAAAGTCAGTTTGGAACAATGGGAAGTGATGTGTTTTTATTAGAATCATGTTAAGAGTTCAGTAAGAAGTTCTCTGGTCTATACTAATCTTGATAATAGGAGCTGTCCTGTAATATAGTTGACTTTTCCTCAAGTGTAAACGATTGGATAAGAAAAATGTTGAAAGTCATCCCTTAAAGTGAAAAGTAGAATTTACTGATTTACATCAAAAGTATCCCTGTTCCTTAAAAAATAAATTTTGAGGATCTTTGAAGTAGCCATACTAGTCATGTTCTGCTTCAGAAAGACTGTACCTTGAAGGTTTCCTAAAATCTTGACTAAGTGGAATCCAGGAGGACTTACTGAAATTCTCTCTTGAATTGATGAATAGCCAGAAAAGCTTGATTATAACTCTTACTGGAAAAACCCTTATTAGTGCTCTCCCAGGTTGTAAACATGACTGAATCGCTTTAATGATTGAGGGTTTTGTAGGTGATAATTTTGAACATTAGTTCCAGTCACATAGTAGTATATAAGGTATCAGTGGCTAAATTGTTACATGTGACAGAAATTGATTTTTTTTTAAGCCTTGCAACTTATCTGTTCTCTCAAATTATTAGTGCTTTTTGGTTAAATAAAAGTTGTATTCAGTCAGTTTTACTCTGGTTATGAGTTAAATTTACTCTGTGAGCCAGGGGTAAGGTTGGTAACCTTTTAAAAAGAATTTTTAGTAAATCATGATGGTATTTAGGAATAAGTGAAGAAGTTAGGCTTGAGCTGTAATGTCCTTGAACACATTTTAAATTAATTTGCAGATTATTGCTTGGTGACTTCGGATATGTGAGAGGACAATCCATAACTATGCAATAGAGCATTGGTTCTTCTCTGTTTGAAAATCAGATGTTCATGGGTAGTATTCACTATTTTGCTAACTTTTAGCATTAGTTTAGATTAGGTATGATGGTCTGGTGGATAGGAAAAATATGACTGATTTAGTAGGAAAAGAAGGAGCTGTGTGAGATTTAAGGTATTGATCATGTATATATTTTTTTTAAAAAACAGGTAGTGCCTGGAGAGACTGCACTGGCATTTTATAAAGCTAAGAATCCTACTGACAAACCAGTAATCGGAATTTCTACATACAATGTCGTACCATTTGAAGCTGGACAGTATTTCAATAAAATACAGGTACAACTAAATGCAAACTATAGAATACAATAAAAGTACAAAAAACTGTTTAGTACTAAATTTACTGCAGTGTTTTAGTAGGTACTGATTTCTGAAAACTCATTTCTTCTAAACTTCAAACTGTTTTTCTTTTTCATTGCTTATAACAGCTTTGTGGAGGTTTAGAGCCAAACCAAATGGAAATCTTCTTTTAAGATTAGAATTTGTTGATTCTCAATCCTTAAAGCAGATCTCAATCTGAGATGAAAAGATGCTGTTACCCTATCACAGAATTTAAAGATTATGTTTAGAACTTAAAGATTATGTTTAACAGTGTGCTTATTAAAGCCAAGAAGTGCACCATTAGTATCTATGTAATACAATAGAAATATTAATAAGTAAATGCCTTTTTATAACTTCTAGTGCTTCTGTTTTGAAGAACAAAGGCTTAATCCACAAGAGGAAGTAGATATGCCAGTGTTTTTCTACATTGATCCTGAATTTGCCGAAGATCCAAGAATGGCAAATGTTGATCTCATCACTCTTTCTTATACTTTTTTTGAAGCAAAGGAGGGGCACAAGTTGCCAATTCCAGGCTATAATTGAAGTCAGCAACTAAGTCCTGCTTCGAATTTGTGATTTTTGAAAAATCATGTATCTTGTCTTCTCAGAAGAGACACATTCTACAATAATGTATTCTATTCTGTTTTATGCCTTTTATTTTAAATATGTACTGATGTCCCCACCCCTCCAACTAATTTACCCTACTTAAAATTGAGAGAACAGGTTCAGCTTTTTAGCATTAGGAATCCACGTGCCTGTTTAGAATGTATGACTGTTCAAAACCAAACTTTGCTAAGTATTATAAGAAACTGCTTTGTTTCTTAAACATGTAGGCATGGCCCCCTTCCAAATATTAGCACTACATACTTGTAGCAATAATTTTTTTTAAATGCCGTGTTGTGTTAGGTTCTAGGTCAGAACTTCTGGCTGTATTTCTAAAACAGTTGGTTACTACTTTTTTCATTGTGTATAGTCACTGTTTTAAAAGCTCAAGATGGAAGAGGAATCACTAAGCCCTGTTTGAAATTTTGGTATCTTGAAATGAAATGCAAGTATCTACCAGGCTGCTAGTATTTCTTGTGATAGTTCCAAGTCCCTGAAATGTTAAAATGTAAGTGTGGGAAATGTGCAGATTACTGACATTAGAAGTTCTGTAATGAGCAACTCTATAAAAAAGATGTATTAAATTGTTTTAATAGTAATTTAATTGTCATTGTTATTTATGACATAAATGAATGCATAATTTATTTTTACTGTTTTCCAGTAGTCTTTGTTCCAAATAAAAGTATTAAATTGCATCAAAAAGAAAATAAAGAGAACATTTAGTATTATAAAGAATCATATTTAAAGGCAACTCGATGTAGTGTCCTGTGACCTCTTCAGGGTACCTGAAATATAAACTACAATATTAAGATTTTTACAGCTCATAATTCTAAACATTATTATTTTAAATATGTTTTTATTGATTTTAGAAAGAGGGAGAGGGATAAACATCGATGTGAGAAACATCGATTGGTTGCCTCCTGCACACCCCCTACTGGGGATTGAGCCTGCAACCTAGGCATGTGCCCTGACCCATTGAGAATCCAATGGGTAACCTCTTGGTTCCTGGGTCAGTGCTCAACCACTGAGCAACACCAGCCGGGCAAGACTATTATTTATAAAGAAGTGCAAATTAACTTTTATATTCGGCTTTAGTTAAATGAAGGCACTCGCTATTTTTCCTGAATAATATAGTTTCTCACATTTCGTGCTTAACATCTATTCAGAATGATTTTGTAATAAAATAATACTTATCTACGCTCATCACAGCTCTGATGATTTCTAAATGTAGGAAAGCCTGTGAAACATAAGATGCTCCAATTAACCAGTTGGCTTCAGTACAATGAATTTTTCTTCTGTTGAAGATTTAAGTGAACATATGTTAAAACCAAGTTTTTTTGAGATAAAGCTTGCACTGTTACTCTTCTGTTTAAATTTCACTATTGCAGAGGAGAAATGTTCCACCATGGTTTTGATGTGCTGGTAGGTCTTGTCTTCTGGGCCTCAAAGCTGGACAGGGTCTACCTTTTAGAGAGTAGTTACCCCTAATGCAGCTAGTGAGCTGGTCCTTCACTCTCACCTAGAATAAACAGAAGAGAGTCAACCGTCCCCATCCTTCCCTTCCCCCATTCCTATATAACTCGAGAGCCACATACTAGTAGAGGAAAGGCGGGAATGTACTATTTCCATTGGGGGTGGGTTAGGCGAGGGGAATAGGTTAATAGGTTGTTAGTGGCCATGCATTCATTCATAAATAACGGGGTGACTAGTACAGCAAACAAATAATCAGGACCTATCTGGACTAACAATAAATGGCTTCTAATAGTCCGTTAACAGGTATTAATTGCACATAAAAGGCAAATGTCTGATTCCAGTGCTAAAAAGTTTTTATTGGTCATCTGTTTTTGTTAGCATTGATATTTCTGTACATAAACCAATTCCTGCTTCCCAAGATTTACTGTTTTTAGTTAACAAGGTCACAAAGAATGTATTTCATTAGTGAACAAACAGTTCACTAGACTTGAGTGATTTGGAGGAAACTATATAATAATATTTCACTCAAAGTGTCAGAGACTCAGCTAGCCCTTAAAAACTGTAAATACTAACTAGGGAAAGTGATAACTACACTGAAATCATGCAGAATGGAGAATGAAGGTTGGATAAGTCAAAGTCTTTACCTCAAGAGTCACTGACTTTGAGTGCCCTTGCGGTGATGAACATCAATTTCTTCATAAATAGCTCTGAAACAAACAAGCCATCGTGGCAAAAGGGTTATACATCACTTTCAAAGTACTGTTTTGGCTTTTATCCTTAACTAAAACTTGGGTGCCCTTAGCTGTTCCGTATAAGAGAATAAAACCAAAATCTCTGCCTTGAATCTTACATTGCAGCTTTCGCAGATCCCAGTGGTGGAATGCCTATGCATCTTAAAAATGTGTATATTATATAATCAATTCATTTTAATTGTGACTTAATGAAAAATATGGTTAAAATCTGGAAAGTTTGCTTTCACTTAAAAAAAAATAGTTCAGCTTTTCCTGATTTTAAGACATTTAAAAAATTTATTGACTTCAGCTTATTTAACCTGTTATTACAGTCCAAACTCATGAGCCACCTTTAGCTTCAATGTCAGCATACCTAGTTTAACCAATCTCTAATTCCTTAAACCACTAATACATTCAGTGACATTTTATCAAACAATCACCTAGGGAAATTTCAAATCCTATTAGGAGAAAATACTTAATGAGCACCTAAACCTATCAAGATTTATCCATTAATTATTCCAAAATAGATCACTACATTGAGGGTTTAAACTAGGGGTCAAAACCTCAGATGCCTCCACATTGCCAGGCAGAGCAAATGAATGGATGCAGGGGGCCAGGTGCAGGGCCTGCCTAATTTAAAGGAGCAGCCACTCCTCAGCCCCAGCCTATGGCTAACGTAAAAATGCAGGCCTAGCATCTAAAAGAATCCAGAGGTCCAGATATTTTTTTGAAATGTCCCAGTGTTGAACTGTTGGCAATTAATTTTTAAATGCATATTTTAAATTCTGCATGGGTCCAACAAAACATAGCTATAGGCAGAGATACAGCTTGGAGGCTGCCAGTTTCTAAACAATGATTTCCATAAATTTGCTTTCATCATTTTTAACAATCTGGGGTAACCTTCAGTCAGTTGAAGTCTATGAAAGCTCTAATGAGCCTAACATCCCATAAACATGTATATACACTTGACCAGCAGGGTATCATAAAATAATGGTGCTTTAAGGATTTCAAATTAAACAATTTTTACACTGTTTTATTAATCCATTTTAAACAGACCTGTCATGTGTAGTGAAGACTAGAAACAAGTTCTTACGAGTTTTTTGGGGGATTACGAGTGAAAAAACAGCTAAAATATCCCATCAACATGGTGTTACTATGTTATTAATCAGTGACTAGTGGGTGCCCTTCTCAAGCTGGAGAGCCTGACTTTCTGCCAAGGCACGAGGAATCCATTAATGCACCTGATGGTTCCAGTTACTCTTAACATGCAACCCCAGCACTTTTTTTGTCACAAGACCGAGAACGGTAAGACCATTAAGAGCAACAGCTCCCATAAAACCTCATAAGTCATTTTTAATAAGGTCATCAATTTGTGCCAAGATCTAAGCAAAGTGAAATGGATAAGCAAGCCCTGTTAGCTCTATCAAAGGGAACCAAGACAAATAAATTAATCATTTTGTAAATGACTTACTCTGTCGTGACAGCAGGAGCTAAGGGATCAAACTCCATTACCTCGTAGTAATTGGGTGGCTGGAGATCATTTTTTGTCATTGCTTTAGGTAAAAAAAAAAAAAATAACAGTAAACACACATCGTGCTTTTTGAGGGAATATGCATGATTAGTATTCTCTCTGTGATGTACACTTCAAACATAAGATCCTAGCAAACACTAAAAACCGGAAACAAATACACTGGTGTTCTAATATTATTCCCATGTGCAACAAATCTATATAACAAAAAGATTTCCAACTTCAAATAAAGGTTCATTTACGCTCTGTGTTCAAAATACAATATTCAGCACAACCCAAGCATTTTTACAATTTCCTAATGTCAGTCATAATGGTATTTGCCCTGAATTTACTTCATGGAACTTAAAAATGCCAAGTAAACTCTAATTTTTCCTCTATATGTTTATTTTCAATGACCAATAAATCTCTGGCAGACTTATATAGTCACAGTTTTCCCTTATTTGAGGCGAATAATAGGGTCCCGAGTACCTGGGTGGTTGCCGGGCAAGGCTGGCAGGCTCTGGGTTGACGGTGTGGCTGGCATAGTGTGTAGACTCACGGGCTGTAGTAATACTGAAGTGGAATAGTCCGAAAACTGAAGAAAGCAGAGTGCATATTCAAATAAACATTTTATAATAAGTTTTCCTTTTTTCATTACTTAGATTCCTAGGCTTCCAAGGGGCACTATTCTAAGAAGAGTATACTCTCAACTGGACAAGAATTAGTAATTGTGAACTATTACTTTAGTTTTTTAGGTAATAACCACTTGTAAAATGTACTGCTTCTCTGTCTGGCTTCATGCCCATTGCACCTCGTTTCCCATGTAAAAGTAAATAAAACAAACGTGTTGCTTAAAAAAAATAAAAGCAGGAATATATAGCTCAATCTGGATTCTGTTGTTTCACACTAAATATGAAATCTCAGCCTCAAACAGGAAAAGAAATATCTTGACCCTACAGAAAGGCATAAAGTGATGGCATTTAAAAAGGACCAATAGAGATTTAAAGTCTTAACTGGAAATATCTTTCTTGTAATTTTCCTTATTTGTTGCACAAATAGGTCCTGGGCACCTAGATGCCAGGCACTACAAATAAAGCAATAAATAAAACAGGCCAAATCCCTGCCCTCATGGATGGAGGGTGACAAGTGCTCTAAGAGAAAAGCAGGGTAGCAGGGACAAGAAAGGCTGGGGTAGATGAAGTGGGATATTGCTGTGATCACAGTGGCCACTGCAGACGGTAAGTGGAGCCCCGACTCTGAAGTGGGCCTTGTGATAATCTGAGGGGACACACAAGGTCATGTGCTCTGAAGTGGGGAGGCCAGTGTGGTTGGAGTAGAGTATGCCAAGGGAAACAGGGTGAGAGGTGAGGCTGGAGAAGTAATGGAAGGGGTCGGATCAGCATTTCGGGCTTTTACTGAGTAAAATGGAGTGAAGACAAAAATCATGGGTGGGTTTAGAGCAGATAAGTGACATCATATATTAAAAAAAAAAAGATTGATCTGGTTTCTGTGCTGAGACTAGATCGTATGGAAGGGGTGGGAGTGGAGTGGTGAGTGAAGGCTGAAGCAGGTCTCCCTTAAGAGACCGCTGTAGAATCTAGCTGGTGGCTTGGACTGGGATGTGGAAGTGGAGGTAGTGAGAGTGGCTGGACAATGGACATATTTTGATGGTAAAAGGTAAAAAGGTAGAGGGTCAAGCACTATTTTCCAAGGTTTTTGACCTGAGCAACTGAAATAGTGGCATGGTTATTAACTGAGGAGGAAAAGACTGCAGGAAGGGCAGGTAGGAAGCCAGAGCTGGGAAGAAAGCAAAGGAGATGTTATGTGGAAGGTGGATGCATGAGTTCTGGGCTTAGGGGAGGGGTATGGGCTGCAGATACCAATGGTA